GGGACTCCAGGATCATGACCTGAGCCGAAGGCAGTCGCTTAACCAACTGAGCCACCCAGGCGCCCTGTGTGGAAATCTTTTATCCAGCTTTTAATTTGGTTATTTTCTTACTATTGAGTTTTGAGAGTTCTTTCTATGTCCGGATACAAACCCTTTTTCAGATATGTGATTGCAGATAATTTTCTCTTAGTCTTTAGCTTTCTCTTCATTCCTTTACCGGTGTTTTTCAGAGAGCAAAAATGTTTAATTTTGATTAGGTCTAATTTATCATTTTTTTTCCTTTTTTTGAATTGTACGAAGATGGATAGATTTAAAAAAAAATTTATTTGACAGAGAAAGAGACAGCGAGAGAAGGAACACAGCAGGGGGAGTGGGAGAGGGCAAAGCTGGCTTCCTGCCGAGCAGGGAGACCCATGCAGGGCTCGATCCCAGCACCCTGGGATCATGAACCGAAGGCAGACGCTTAACGACTGAGCCACCCAGGTGCCCCAAGATGGATAGATTTTATTTATGTATGTATGTATGTATGTTATATAAATTAACCCATTTATTATAGGCTAGCAATGTTTCAAATGGTGAAGCTTCTACTGGTCTTTCAACTCCTTCAGTCTTCTGATGGCAGACTTTACTGTGACAGCAGAAGTGGTGTTGTAGGTCCAGGAGCCACCAGCGACGGTTTTCATGCAGGAGCCACAATGCCAGATCCCCACAGCTCGTCTTTTCATCTTGGTTTTGCCACAGAAGGAGCAAGTGTACCTGGCAGGCTGGCTTATTTCAATCTTCTTCCCCATTTTCCTGAGGGAGGCACCATAACGGGTCCCGTATTTACCCACGATTCCGACCTTCTTGGTGTGTTTAGCCATGTCGCCGCAAACTAGGTCTGAGCCCAGAGAGCAAGATAGATAGATTTTAAAACAAGTTTCTTTCCTATAAAAACAATAAGGGGCGCCTGGATGGCATTTGTTAAGCATCTGCCTCCGGCTCAGGTCATGGTCCCAGGGTCCTGGGATCAAGCCCCACATCGGGCTCCCTGCTCGGCGGGAGGCCTGCTTCTCCCTCTCCCACTCCCCCTGCTTGTGTTCCTTCTCTCATTGTGTCTCTCTCTGTCAAATAAATAAATAAAATCTTTAAAAAAAAAAAAAGCAGTGAAAACTAACTTAGTGATAGGAATGTTCTCATAAAGTTGACTTTTGTGGAAGGTGCAAATGTTATCATTTTATGGAAAGGTGGTGCTAATTAAAATACTCCTTAGTCTTAGGGACTCCTAGGACTATTGCTTAACCAAAAAAGATGATTGGCTTAGATTTGGGAGGATTTTCCCACTTACTTTTAAATGGTAATCTCTAACATGGTTAACACATGGATACTTTTATAATGCAGAATTATGTAGGAAATCAGTCATTAAGACTGTTTTAGAATTAAAATGTTGATACTTAGATTCACATTTGATGGTTTTGGAAGTGCCTGGGTTTGAGTTTCTACTCTTGGAACAGCATTGGAACCTCGATTGTGGGTTCAGAGTCAGTGTCATGGCTAAAAGCATGAACTGGGTCATACTGTCTGGATTTGAATCCTGCCTCTGTTGTTTACAGTATAGCTGTGGGTAAGTAACTTTTCTGTGCTTCAGTTTCCTTCTCTGTAAATGGGATTGGAAAAAATAATAATATCCACCATATAAGGTCATTATAGGGATTAAATTAGATTCCATAGAGTATTTTCAACAACATCCAGCACAAAATAAGCATTCAGTAAATGGTTCTTATTACTGCTGAAGTAGCTTTATGGTGAAGTCGTTTAAACAAATGTTTTAGAATTATATTTTCAACAGGCATTATAACCAAATACCGCACTTTTTTCCCTCTCTACACTTTCTGTTATTAGTAATCAGTAATTGCGGCCAGTGTTATTAGCAATCGTGTGTAGATACTGTTTTATGAGACAGTCACCAGCCCCTTCTGTTTTTCACTTCCTGTGAGGTACAAATTAGATGTACATATATATCAATTAGTTCCAACTGCCTGAAACATCAACCTGAACTGTCTTAAACTAGAAAGAAATTTCTTGGCTCACGTAACTGCAAGGTCCAGGCATAGCTAGCTGGAGTCAGGGCTCAAGTAGTGACATCAGGACTCAGTTTCTCCCCATGAATCAACTCTGCCTTTTCCTGTATAGACTTCAGTTGTAGGCACTATATGTTAGAAAAATGGCCGCAGCATATTCAACCCCTGGAGTCTCTCAGATTTTAGATTTAGCAGGAAAGAACACCTCTTTCCCAGAAGCCTCAGCAAAAGTCTCATGTTTCATTGGCTCTTAGGGGTCACATGTCTCACCCTGAGCCAATCATTGTGTTCTGGGCTGTGAGACTTGGATTGGCCGGTTGTGCCATGGCAGCCTTGTTTTCCGTGGTGCAGTCTGCTCCTCAGGAACCACGTGGACTGAGAGTAGGGCAGAGGTGAATTCTCAAAGGGGAAGTATGGGCTTTTATTACCAGGAAGAGGAATGGATACTGGGTGGCCAAATAACTAATGATATTAGTCTCTTCTATAGGTCAGCAGCAGATTGCCGGAGTTCATGGATTTGGATTGGAATCTTGGTTTCTGATGCCTGCTCTCTTGCCTGTGAAGTTACACACTCCAAAGCCCATGTTCCCCACAGGGGTCGGAGTTGGTAGAAAGTTACAGTGTTTTATGTTCTTTTTATGCAAGTTGAATGTTTTTAACAGGAAGAGAAAGAATCAAGGCTGATAGAGGGTACATCTCACAATAGGCGGATATGGTGCTTCTTCCTATATTGATGTGATTCATGTGACTCATCTCCTTTCCCTGGACCTCCCTGTCCCACAGGAGAGGCTCTTCTAGACCCAGCGTGGTCAGTGTCTGCCCTTGGATCCGGCTGTTCTGGCCAGGCAGCGGGATCATATGCTATCGATATGGCTGTATCTGTATCCTAGTCCAGAGGGTCTGTCAGCCCCACAGTGAGGTGCATCTGGGTGCTGGCCTCTTCTAGGAGAAGTAGTTCTAGATCTCTTACTCTGTGTTTTCTGTAGTCCATTTTAGCATGGCTTGCGGCATCATCTCACTTGACTGGCAGTTTTTATTTTACCTGTGAGAAAGCACTTTAGTTTCTTCAGGAGTATGTGTAGCAAGGTGATGCGGTTTTCTGAAAAACCAGAGAAAACAGTTGAATAAGACCTGTTTCGTACTGTGATCCACACTACAGCAAAGTACCCCTAGTGAGGTTCAGGTAGGACTTAGGTAGAAACTAATTTTCAGGACCTGATTAGCAAAGGTAATTGGGGTAGAAACTTTCACATCCTCTTCTGAGGTAGGCTCTTGAACCCAGTGAATCAGATGTTAACTCTAAGTCATTTACCCACAAAGCTCCTGACGTTAATAGTTCTGCCTGTCATCTCTACTTATATGTTGTTATTGAGATTTCCCTGGCGAATATGTTTGGTGGCTAATGTTGACAAGAGTCTTGTGATCTCCCTATAGCCACTTTTAGGGGTTTTCTCGTCTAGATCAGTGACAAGTGTACTTATTTCTCCAAAGGCTGTTCTTCCATAATCATTATCAGTTTATTGAGGTGGATAAAATAGATGAAAATAATTCCTCTGTTAAGTAAGTAAAATAGTTATGTAGAGTGCTGTTTTGTTTTCTATAATTACATTATTGTATGTTGAGATCAGTGCAGTGATTCTACTTTATATAAATTGAAGATTTGGAATTTTAGGGAAAAACAATAGCTAACACTTAACTGAGCACTTACTGTGTGCCAGTTCTTATAAGTGTTCTACACATATTATTTTACCTAAGCCTGCATTAATCATAGGAGGTAGGCATTAGTTGTCTTGCCATTTTAGAAGTAAGTCGAGATACAGGAGGTTAAGTCACTTGCCCTGGCCATGCAGCTGGCGAGTGTCTGAGTGACAGGGCTGATGGTGAGTGCGGGGGGCTGGTGAGTTGTGAATGCAAGTTCTCTGGCTCTGAGCCTATGCTTGGATCACTGTGCTGCATTCTGTCCCTAAGGAAGATTGTAGGTTGTGCATTCTTGGTTTTTCTTTTCTTTTTACTTCTTGTAATATTTTCTAGATGTGGGCTCAGAGTTTTATAGGAAAGATTTGCTCATTCTGGGGTGTTTGGTATCCGTGGGTTTATCTATCTATTGTTGCTGTTACCTGCCAAGCAAATACTGTGTGCTTGTTTGTATCAGTAATCCTCAATCAGGAATGATTTTACCCCCAGGGGACATTTGCTTATGTCTGCAGCCCCTTTGAGTTGTCACAGGTTGGGAGATACTACTGGCTTCTAGTGGGTAGAGGCCAGAGATGCTCTTACACATCTTACAAAGCACGGGACAGCCTCCCAAACTAAGAAGTATTTGGCCCGGAGTGTCAGGAGCATCAGCTGAGGCCTGTGTAATAAGTTAGTGATTCTCTTATAATGCCATTCTTATGCCTAAGGGGCAAAGTCACAGTAGTAATACAGAAGTCGTCATTTTTGATTTTTGTTTGGTAATTGATTTCATCCACATTGATGCATGTTTGTATAAGGGGCATGAATACCAACTATACCTAACATATTTAAGCTTCACTAAGTCAAACTGGGTCTTGTGGCCGATTGAAGGAGGGCTGAGGAAGTTGAAAGGGACGCCATGTAGAGACTGAGGACACAGTACTCTAGATATTTGTTGTTGTATTTATTTATTTAGAGATTTAATTAATTATTTTAAAGTGAGATATTTTAAGATTTTATTTATTCATTTGAGAGAGGGAGAGACAGAGGGAGCACAAGCAGGGGGAGAGGCAGAGGGAGAGGGAGAAGCAGGCTCCCTGCTGAGCAGAGAGCCCGATGTGGGCCCCGATCGCTGGACCTGGAGATCATGGCGTGAGCCGAAGGCATATGCTTAACCATCTGCGCCACCCAGGTGCCCCTATTTATTTATTTTAGAGAGAGAGAGAGAGAGAGAGAGAGAGTGGGAGAAGGAGAGAGGGAATCCTCAAGCACATTCCCTGCTGAGTGTGGAGCCGGACATGGGGCTTGATCTCATGATGCTGAGATCACGACCTGATCTGAAATCAAGAGTTGGACACTCGGGGGCGCCTGGGTGGCTCAGTCGTTAAACGTCTGCCTTCGGCTCGGGTCATGGTCCCTGCTCCGAGGGAAGCCTGCTTCTCCCTCTCCCACTCCCCTTGCTTGTGTTCCCTCTTTCGCTATCTCTCTCTGTCAAATAAATAAATAAAATCTTTAAAAAAAAAAAAAAAAAGAGTTGGACGCTCAACCGACAGAGCCAACCAGGTGCCCCTATTTGTTGGATTATCTTGTGAATAACAGATTTTTTTTTTATTGTTTTTGTTTTTGTGGTTCTTGTTAAAAGTTAATTTGCTAAATGTAAACATTTAAAATATCCTGTAATTTTAAAACCGTGTTTTGGTATTCTTTTAATTAAAAATTTCAAACTGAGAAAAGTAGAGAATATTGTACCCATGTGCATACCAGCCAGTTTAACAAATGCTGACAGAGGTCGAAGTCCTTTTTGACTCTTTCTTGGTCCATTCCTTAGAAATTTCTACATTTTTTTTTTTTTTTTTAAAGATTTTATTTATTTATTTGAGACAGAGAGAATGAGAGAGAGCACATGAGAGGGGGGAGGGCCAGAGGGAGAAACAGACTCCCTGCCAAGCAGGGAGCCCGATGCGGGACTCGATCCAGGGACTCCAGAATCATGACCTGAGTCGAAGGCAGTCGCTCAACCAACTGAGCCACCCAGGCGCCCCTCTACATTTTTTGACATACAAGTATCACGAAGTTGAAGGGGCCTGGACCTCTGCTGATGTTTGTCCTTCTGCCTCACCCCCCGCCACTGTGTTCTGGGGGCCCATCCGCAGGTGTCTCCCTTTGGCTTTCGCTGTGGTGCAGAGGCAGCGGGTGGCTGAAGAACAGCTGGGAGAGCGTGGGGCCAGGTTGTCATCAAAGCTGGAGAGGCCAGGCAGGAGTGTCCGTGTGGGCTGGAGAGAGCCGAGAGGGACAGAGAAGTACCTGGGGCCAGTGGGTAAGGTGGAAAGTAGGGAAGAGCGGGAGAGCGAGTAAGGTGGGAGCAGGCAAGAAAAGCAATCTGCGTGCTTGACGGAGCTGGTGACTAGAGGTCAGCAAGAGTGATCCTCCGAAGTAGTATTGTGATCGTCAGGTCAAAGGATTTTAGGTCTTCTCTGCGTAGGTTTTGTGCTCTTGCTGTGTGAGTGATCCAGCTAGGCAGAGGCTGTGCCTGAATTCTCAGTATCTCTTCCTTGGACCACCGTAGTGGTCTCTTATTAATGGCAATGCCTGCCTCTCAGCAGTTCTTCACAGGACTTCTATACAAGAGAGTCGTTCCTTATTTAGTTACTGTTATTTTTATTTTTAAAGATATATTTATTTGGGGAGGGGCAGAGAGAGAGAGGGAGAGAGAACCTTGAGCAGTCTGTGCACTGTGCGTGGAGCCTGACGCGGGGCTTGATCTCACGACCCTGAGATCACAACCTGAGTCGAAACCAAGAGTTGGACGCTTAACCGACTGTGCCACCCAGTTGCCCCAGATTCTTTTCCTTATTTAAAAATCTATCATGCCCCATCACCTGTGGAATAAAGCTCTCACTTCTTGTGGCATGTGAGGTCATTCGTCTCTCCTGCTCCTCTTTTCCCTGACACCGCTGGAGTTCAAGTCACATAGTTTCTCCTCCGTCATTTCACTTGAACTCCTCTCTCTGAAAAGCCCACATATGCTCTCCCTATCATCTCTGCGTGGTGAACTTCTGTTCACCTTTTGAGGCCAGCTCATGCCTTTTGGCAGATGGAATAAGTCTTTCTTGTAATTGTTCATTTGTGCTTGGCTGCTCTTGCTAGAATCGGAGTTTCTTGAAAGCAGTGATGCCATGTTCCATCTTTGATTTCAGTACTGCTAGCACAAGGCTTGGCCTCGGGAAATCTTTGTTGAATTGAATTAATAGGCAGTTCAAAGTTGGATTTTAGCCATTTTTTTTATGTTGGTGGGAAAAATCCTGCATGGTATAGATTTCGATTCTCTGCAATCACAGTCACAGAATTATAAGACTGAACTTGGGAGGTTTGGATATGAAACATTTCTCTACTGTCTGGTTTAAAAAAAAAAAAAAAAGCCTTCATGGTTTGTTGCACCCTGCAATATTCAAAGTCATGTTTCATTTATACATTTGATGTGTTGTTTGTATGATACTGACTTACGGTTGACATTTTGCTTGGATCTTAGTAAAGATTCCACAGAATATAAAAGAGAAGTATAGATTTTGTAGCGTCAGTAGCCACTGCTCAGCTGCAGCTTGGTCAGAAGGCTGATTGAGAGTAACTATTCAGATAGGTAATTAAACCAGCTGAGGTAGGAATGAGGCTAGAATTTAGTAAGATTTTAAAACTTTCTCTGACTTGTTCTTTCTTCCTGCCTTTAGGATTTTTGTCCCTGAGTCATGGAAGACAGAAGAGCTGAGAAGTCATGTGAACAAGCGTGCGAATCACTTAAGAGGCAGGACTATGAAATGACCCTCAAGCACTGCACAGAGGCCCTCCTTTCTCTTGGCCGGTACTCCATGGCCGACTTCACAGGGCCATGTCCACTGGAGATAGAAAGCATCAAAATTGAGAGTCTTCTTTACAGAATTGCCTCATTTTTGCAACTGGTGAGTAAACACTGTTGATAAGCCAATGCCAAACCATGTAAAAGGGACTTTTTCATTGAGTGGGGACAGTTGTTGGTCATAATCACCTAATTCTGGGCTGAGGAGATGAGCGACCTGGCTAGTGATTGCTGAATATGTTTAATTGCAACAACTGTTTTTAAGCCTTTAAATTACACTAATGTATAACATTTTGGGTTATTCACTCATCCACCAGATACTTATTGAGTGTATACTATGTGCTGGACACTGGTCTAGGTACTTGGTATACATTGGTGAAAAAGAAGATCCTTTATGGTATTTTTTCTATTAGGGGGACAGACAGTAAACAATAGATATTATATATAGGTAGACACTTTAGACTGTGAGAAGGTAGCAGTCTGCATGAAAAAAAGCCGGACAGGGCAAGGGAGATTGGGGATACTAGGGTTAGGGATGCAGTTGCAGTTTTAAATTGAGTGGTCAAGGTTGTCTCACTGATCAGGTGATATGAAGGAGGTAAGGGAGTGAGCCATGTCAAGATCTGGAGGAAGAGCATTACAGGCAGAGGAAACAGTCAGTGCAAAGACCCTGAGGCAGAAGCCTGCCTGGCATGTTTGAGAGAGAGCTAGATGGCCCCTGTGCTGGAGAAAAGTATGTGACAAGGAGTGGGTAACAGAACTAGATCCTGTGGGGTCCTCCAGGTCCCTGTAAGGACCTGTTTTTCTTCTACTTAAGATGGGGAGCTCTTGTGGGTTTTTTAAATTTAAATTTAAATTTTTTTTTTAGGTTTTATTTATTTGTCAGAGAGAGAGAGAGAGGAGCACAAGCAGGGGGAGCGGCAGGCAGGAGAAGCAGGCTCCTCGCTGAGCAAGGAGTCTGATACGGGACTTGATCCCAGGGCCCTGGGATCATGACCTGAGCTGAAGGCAGACGCTTAACTGACTGAGCCATCCAGGCGTCCCTCTTGTGGGTTTTTTTTTTTTTTTTAAAGATTTTATTTATTTGACAGAGAGAAAGACAGCCAGAGAGGGAACACAAGCAGGGGGAGTGGGAGAGGGAGAAGCAGG